AATGAATGAATCAATGAATGGAAATATTATTTAACAAATGAAGGTATGAATGAAAACTGAATGTATGAAAAAATGAGTGTATGATTCAATGAATGATGGTGTATATAAGGAAATGAATGAACGAAGGAATGAATGTTTGAATGAACGAATATATGAATCAATGAATGAATGGATGAATTGATGAATGCAAGAATGTATGAATCAAGTACTGGATGGATTAATGAATGGATGAATGAATGAGTCAATGAATGAAGGAATGGATTAATGCTGGACGAATGAATGAATGAACGGTGAATGAATGGATGAATGAATGAATGAATGAATGAATGAATGAATGAATGAACGAATATATGAACGTATGTATGAATAAATGAATGAATGGATGATTGAATAAATGAATGAATTAGTGATTGAATGGATGAACTAATGGATGAATGAAAGAATAAATGAATGTATGAACGAATGCATGAATGAATGAATAAATGAATGGAGGGAAGAATGAGTGATTAAATATATGAATGATTGAATGAATCAGTTATTGAAGGAATGGATAAATGAATGAATGGATGATTGAATAAATGAATGAATGATTGAATGAATGAAAGAAAGAAAGAATGAATGAATGATTGAGTGAATGAACGAATGAATGAATGGATGGAGGGATGAATCAATGAATGAAGGAAGGAAGGAAGGAATGAAGGAATCAATGAATCAATTAATGTATAAATGAATGGATGAATCTATGGTTGATTAAATGAATGAATGAATTGATGACTGAATGAATCAATGGGTGAATAAGTGAATGAATGTGTGAATAAATGAATGAATGAATGAATGGAGGAGGCATGAATGATTGAGTGAATAAATGGATGAATGAATGGTTGAATGAATTAACGAACGAATAAATGGATGTTTGAATGAAGGAACGAATGAATGAATGAACCAATAAATAAATGAATGAATGAGTAAATCTATGAATGAATGGAATAATGAATAAGTGAATGAATGAATGAATCAATGAATGTTTAAGGGAATGAATAAAGGTAGGCATCGATGAATGAATGAATGATTGACTGTTGACTGTATCGGTTAGTCATCTTTTTATTAAAATATGAATTTGATAGACGAGTGATTAGTTATTACCTAATGCTAAAGCAGTATGTTGTGAATCTTCATAACACAAACTACATATAAAAAGTAACAACAAAATTATTCCTCGCTGGAATCGGAGAGGCGAAATAACGCCAGTTGGTGAAAGCCTTCAGGAAGCCAATTGGCCGATGTGTCTACTCTCCTCTCGATGAAAGCGGAAGTAAACGTGGGGACATGGAATGTCCGCACCATGTCTCAACCCAGCAAGGCAGCCCACATTGCAAACGACATGAAGAAGTATCACACTGAAGTGCTTGGAATTTGCGAAAGCAGATGGAATGGGAGTGGACCCTCCAAACTGTCAACTGGACAATCAATAATCTACTCCGACACTGTCACCCAGACAACAACCACGAGCACACTGAGTTTTGGAGTGGCTATCATGATGTGTCCTTGTAGAGCATTGAAGGCTCACTCTCATGCAGTGGGAACCAATCTCCTCCTGCTGGATCATAACAGCAAGGTTCAACTCAAAAGGAAGGAAGGAAGGAAGGAAGGAAGGAAGGAAGGAAGGAAGGAAGGAAGGAAGGAAGGAAGGAAGGAAGGAAGGAAGGAAGGAAGGAAGGAAGGAAGGAAGGAAGGAAGGAAGGAAGGAAGGAAGGTCACAATCATACAATGCCACCCTAGGCACCTACAAATAATGCAGAGCAACAGAAAAAGGAAGAATTCTATAGACAACTTCAATCAACAATGGACAAGACCCCATCTCAGTTGGCGATATCACAATTCTAATGGTGACATGAATGCCAAACTGGGAGCAGACAACACAGGAAGAGAACTAACCATGGGTCGAGAAGCGCTCAGTGAGGTGATGAACGAGAATGGAGAATTGTTTGCAGAATTCCGTGCATTCAACGATTTGGTGATTGGAGTAAGGCAGTGTGTTCAAGCACAAGGATATCCACAAAGCGACATGGATTTGATTTCACCAGATGGACACACTACACTAAAAATCACATCGACTTCATCTCAATCTCAAGAAAGTGGAGATGCAGTCTACTTGACACAAGGTCAAGAAGAGGAGTAGATGTAGGTTCAGACCACTGTCCAGTGCAAGGAAACTTCAAAATCAAGTTCAAAGCCTTCAGGCAAGCTGGTGATAGACCACAGTTCAAGTACAACACTCGGAAACTGAAGGATGAAACTACAAAGGAAATCTTCACGGCTGCCATCAAGACAAAATGGGAGATATCGAGGAACATCCCTGAAGAAACCTGTGTGCAAGAACACTGGAAGTCTTTGAAAGCTATGTGGAAAGAAACCTGCACAACAGTATTAGGAAGGAAGAAGAAAGAAGATAAGGAATGGATCTCGACGGATACCTGGAAGCTGATAGAGGAGAAGAGGATGGTGAAGCAGAAGATAAACCAGTGCTAGGATGCTCAACGACAAGAGGAACTGGGTACAATGTGTAAAACACTGGACAAAGAAGTGAAGAAGAGTGCACGCAAAGACAAAAGACACTTCTACGAAACACTGGCAAGTGAAGCAGAACAGGCTGCAGGTAAGAGAGATAGAGACTTGACAACATTGTATCAAATAACCAGGTTCCTATCTGGGAAGAGATCAACGCAGACGAAACCAATAAAAGATGATGACGAAAATGTAATTACGAAAGAAGAGAAACAAAGGAAACGATGGACTGACCACTTCAAGAAGCTCTTGAATCAACCACCACCACCACCTGCACTTCGTCCAGAAATACCACATACAGCCGCTGAATTACGAGTGAACATAAATCCTCCAACAAAAATCGAAGTCCTGAGTGCCACAAAGCTACTAAAATGCTGGAAAGCAGCAGGACCACATGGAATCCCGCCAGATACACTGAGAATACACGCGGAAACAACAGTTGTGGACATGCTCACACCACTATTACAGAAGGTGTGGAAGGAAGAGAAGGTACCTGCCCATTGACGATTGGAAGAAGGGTTACCTTGTCAAACTGCCGAAGAAGGGAGACCTCAGTGTTTGCAAGAACTGCCGAGGAATCACGCTCCTGTCCACCCAAAGCAAGCAAAATATTATGCCGCATCATCCTGGAGAGGCTAAAGAATGCGCTGGATTCAAAACTACAACCCGAACAGGCAGGCTTCAGGAAGTACAAATCACGTGCGCACCAAATTGCAACGCTACACTACGCATTGTCATAGAACAGAGTATAGAATGGCAGTCAACTCTCTACTACAACTTCATCGACTTTGAGAAGGCCTTTCACAGCGTCGACCGAGAAGTAGTTTGGCAGATAGTTGCTTCAACACTACGGAGTACCATAACCCTTTATCAATCTCATTCAACAACTATATGAAGATGCCACATGCCAAGTAATTCAATATGGGAAGCTCAGTGATGCTTTCGAAGTGTAGTGAAGACAGGAGTAAAACAAGGCTGCCTACTATCATCCATGATATTCCTGATTGTGGTCGACTGCATCATGCAGCAAATAGTGAGGAGCGAGAACAGGGGCATACGCTGGACTGTAGAAAAGAACCTAGAAGATCTGGATTTCGCCAGTGATGACTTGTGCCTGGTGTCACACAAAATTGAAGATCCACAGGCGAAAACTAACAAGTTGATAGAAGAGGCAGCGAAGACAGGACTTCAAGCGAATATAGAGAAGACAGAGGTGGTGAAGATACCGCACCAATAACTCCAGCAACAACAACAACAACATACTCCAATCACCATCAACGGGAGAAACTTAAAGGAAGTAGCCTCTTTCACCTACACCTATCTAGGCAGCACTGTTTCAACTACAGGCGGGACAGACGAGGATGTCAAAGTCAAAGTCAGAAAAGCAAGACAGGTGTTCATTAGCCTGAAACCAGTGTGGAGATCTTCTGCACTCAGCATGTGTAACAAGATCCGGATTTTCAACACCAATTCAGTCAAGTCAGTGCTTCTGTGTGATGGCTCAGAGACTTGGCGCGTTAGGAAGGGATTTCCAATAAACTACAAACATTCATCAACAACTGCCTACACTGGCTCGTTACTGAAGATCAGATGGCCAGAAAGAATAAGCAACAAGGAGCTCTGGGAACGAACCAACCAAGAACCTATCACTCAACAAATATGCACTGGAAGGAAGTAGAGATGGATTGGACATACACTGAGAAGACCGGCTGGGGACATCACGCGTCAGGCCAGGCCATCGAGTGGAACCCCCATGGGAAGCGACGAGTTGGACGTCTGAGGGTGACATGCAGGAGATCGTGCGAGGATGAAATGAGAGGTTGTGGGCTGTCGTGGAGCCAGACCCAAGAGATTTCAGAGAACAGAGTTCACTGGAGACGTGCTACTGAAGCCCTATGTTCCATAAGGAACCCAAGGAACTAATAATAATAATAATAACAGTTAAACAAAAAAGAACATTGACCATTTAACTTTTAATTGATTTGAAAAATATGCGTGAAATAAACGAAGATTGAATCTTCAGGATGAATGGGGATTTTTTTCAAATTTAGAAGTAGTATTCATCATGGACTGATATCAATTGGGGGACAATTGAAAGTGTGGGCGCATCAGACAGCTTTTTCCTCCCAGTACGGGACTTCTCAACAGAACGCACCTATGACTTGAACTCAGGAGTTTCAGGTTTCACGGTGAACGCGTTAACCATTCAACCACTGTGTCGGTTTTCAGTGGTTCACAATTTCGAACTTCAGTCGATTCATGACGCGTTCACCATAAAACCTAAACATCCTAAATTCGATCCCTAGTCGTTGGGGCATGGGTGAGTACTGCTGAGGAGTCACATACTAGTTGGACGAAACAGCTATTCAGTGCTTCCAGATATTTTTTGAATGGTTCCCTAACTCAATCATTCAACAACAAAAAAAGTCATCCAGTTAACAATAAATTTCATGTATTTTCTGTAGACGTCTGTCAGATTTATTGTTGACAAATGAGAAGACTAAACGAAGTATGTTCTTTCACTGCAGCCGCCGCCACCGCCATCATCATCATCATCATCCTCCACGAGGTTTATAAGTTGATGCCAATTGTTTTAAACCTGTTTTCCTAATAATCATTAAGAAAGACAATAAGTGATCAGCTTACACCTCTTTCATATACATTTCTTTACTCATCCATTCATCTCCATTATCTGATATTGTTTTATTATATTGTAAAATACCTAAGGTTTCTAAAGCATGCTGATATCGATCAATTGGTATTGTTTGTTTTTCACATGGATCAAGCATATTGAATATTAATTCAGCATTGATTTCATTGAAAAGTGATGGTGGAGTTGAGTATTCATCACGAGCAGCTTTCAATTGACGTAATTGTTCAGTTAAATATTGTTTTGGATTTTCTACACTAACAATATACAATGAAAACTGATAGATATGAAGCTATTTGATAATATTTATACACAAGGTACACATGTATCGAATTGAAACTAGTGGACAGTAGATAGGCGGCTAATGTAAGCTAATTGATGAGTTTATAGACGTTCATCGGATTCGAGTCCAGATAGCATGAATTACACAATGCTCGAAGAAGCTTTAAGCGATACTAAGTTTGTGTTAATAGTTCGTCAAAAATCAGAAACTTTAAGGTCAAGAGTGGTTATATACAAATGTAGGCCTCCTTATGACTTCGCCACATATCAAATAATACCATTACCCAAAGGATTTGATGAAAACTCTGCTCATTTCTTGACAGTAGTACACCTGAAAGGGTAGGGGGACTGTATTTAGTTTACAGAATTGTAGAGTATTCAATGAGACGTATTTCATCGACTACCCCATCAATATGGATTCATAGTACATTGACAGTTGGAAGGGTTGTGAGATAACGTTATTTATTCTGAATATGTTGTTTGGATATTTCATGTTTGGTGAGCTGATCATCATCATCATCATCATCGATATCAACATGGGACCAGGCATTATTGCGTAACGGTTCGACTGGCCACACCTCATATCACTACATCAAGTAGAAAGGTAGTGAGGTGAAGGATGAAGATAAGAGAATATAGTCAAAAGAAATATTAAGTACGAGAAGAAAGGAAGGAAGAGTGACAAAATGGTAAGAATTAGTATAGCGTCGTTAAGATGAGGATAATGTGTGTGGGAATACATTTGTACCACTCGAATCGGTTCTGAGTCATAGCCACTGGGTCGTTTCCCAAACGGTTTACACTTGCCAACTTTTTTCAATGTCAGTCAGTGATGACTACTACCTCTAAATTAAAAATCCCTATTCATCTCAAAAATACATTAGATGAGTCTATTATTACTTGATAGGTGAACATCACCTCATGAAAATGGAATGTTCTAGGGTGAAATGGTGGATGGATTGTAGATTTAGAAAGGGGTTACGTAATCATATGTGTCTATCAGGGAAATATGCAGTCGATTAACGTGATGATAAACAGATTAAGAAAGATATTATTATTACCATTACTTTTCCCTTGGGTTCCTAGTGAACATAGGGATTTAGTAGCACGCCTCCATTCCACTCTATTGCTCGCAGTCTTTTATACATGGCACTACGACTGCCAACAAGCTTTCATTTCATCCTCACACCATCTCATCAATGTCAACCTCGCGTCAGACGCCCAACTCGTTGTTTCCCATTTGGATTCCACTCGACGGCTTGGCCTGACACGTGATGTCTCCAATTGGCCTTCTCAGTGTATGCTCAATCCATCTACACTCTCTTCGACTGCATATTTGTCAGGTGATAGGTTCTTGCTTCGTTGGTTCTTTCCCAGAGTTCCATCTTGCTTATTCTTGTTATCCTAACCATCTCGTCGATCTTCAGTATCGAGCCAGCGTAAATGGTAGCTGTTAATCAATCTTTTTAGTTTGTTGGAGCTGCTTTCGGGACGGGCCAAGTTTCTGAAGCATGTGGCAGCACTGACTTGACTGAATTGGTGTTGAAAATCCTGATCTTGTTGCTTGTGCTGAGTGCAGTAGATCTCCACACTGATTTCAGAATAATAAAATCCTGTGTTGGTATCTTTCCGATCCCGGCTGGTTTTGACATCCTCGTCTGTGCATGTACCGTGGCCTGTAGTTGAAACGATGCTGACTAGGAAGGTAGGTAGGTGAAAGAGTCTACTTCCTTTAGGTTTCTCCAGTTGTTGGTGACTGGTGCCTCTTGTTGTTAATGCTGTTTTTGGTTGGGTGTCGTCATCACCTCCGTCTTTTCTTCATTCACTTGAAGTCCCGTTTTCGTTTCTATGTCTCTATGTCTCTTTTCATCGGTCCCATACCCATCTTCTCACTCCTCACGGTTTGCTGCATGATGCAGTCCAGTCCACTGCAATCATGAAGATGATCGTTGATAGTAGGCGGCAACCTTATCTTACTCCTGTCTTCACTTCACTTCAAAGGCATCACTTTACTTTCCATTATTGATCACTTGGCATATGGCGTCGTTATTTAGCTCTTGAATGAAGTTGATAAAGATTTGTGGCAGTCCATAGTGTTGAAGCAACTATCAAATTATTTTAAGAAAGATAAACAGGTCAAATCTAATAATCCCACTTATCAATTATCGATTTGACTAATTCCCCAATATATAACCTTTCAAAATTTCTCAAAAAAGTCGTTTAACTATTATAAGACAACTTGGTAAGTATCATTAAAGATTCATTAGACTTTAAATATTATTTATTACAAACAATCATTGAAGATGATGAAGCAATGGTTAGGTTAGATATTGTTTCTCTGTATACAAATAATTCGATTGATGAAAGTATAATTGTGTTATTGCTTATATGACACCGTGGTTGATTGGACTGACAGACAATATCGAGGCATCCACACACGAGCCCATATAATAATTTTAATAATAATTCACTTTATTCCAAACAATTTGTGGTACATATGTCATATGCCAATGGAGACTAATCAATTCACTCCAGTTCAACCACAGTGTCATATAAGCCATAACGCTAAAACTATACCCGTCGCACAAGAGGTGGCTATCATGGCTCGGTGATGTAGTGGATAACACTCAGCCGTTTGAAGCGGTCACCCCCGAGTCCGAGTCCCGGTAGGGATAACACCACTCACTGTGAGGTAGGTACATCCAGCTGACGAGTCTCAAATAGGACGAAATGCGTATCCACCATTCCACTGCTCATCTTTACCAAAGCACAATAGTTATTAGGTTCTTATCAGATGTAATGTAATAGTTTGCATCAGTGAAATCTATAATCCACTGAGATTATGTTTAACCTCAACCTTTATTTACTTTTCGAAAGGGAATTTTTCAGGAAGCCTTCAAACGAAACAGCTATCCAGATAAACTGTTACAAAGGATAGAAAAAAAGTTTATCGAAAAAAAGATACGAAAAAGCCAAGCTAAATAGATTAGATAAGTACTACACTACTTCCTTATCGAACATCCACATTAGAGGAAATAAGACCTATCCTTATTAGCTACAACAGTATAGTATTCATTAGGGTGACGAACACATTATACTTACACTTGTGTAAATTAAGAGATCCGATTACTCAGAACTATGTTTATAAGGTAGACTGAAGTGAATATGATGCCGGATACATTGGAGAGATATCATGTCGAGTACTAACATGTCTTTGAAATAAAGGTGAATATTTGTAGCTCAGGTGGATGGTCTTGGTTGTATTATGTTCTCTAAGGTGCTGGGTTGTATAATCGTGAAGACTTTCATCGTCTTTCTGGACGACATCCACAGCACTAACTTCAGTATGAATTGTAAGCTGTTAATATCTCTCCGTGAGTGATTTATTGACTTGCTCTGACGATATGGTCTGTGATGGGTTGTTCAGCTCGACTGTTGTGTCATTAACTGTATAGACTTTCCTGTTGGCTGTTTCTCTGCTTGACCTCTGACCTTTCTGTTGTTTATCATTTTTCTTATTGGTTGATAGATTGGGTCGATGTCTATACATCTGTTGATTGCTGACCGACTAAGTGACCTGAATGCTAAGCTTCTAGGAATTTTCTGATGATATTCTTTGTGTTTCCTCTCTCCAACCAACATTTCTAAATTGCCGAAATGTCGTGGCGTTTAATAGTCAATTGGTGCTCATGTAGACGAAGGCGAAGAGGGCGACCACTTTGTCCAATGTGGTGTGTTGACAACAGTTATTGTAGTTGATTTTGTAAATGATATTCGGTTTTTCTTGTTTGCTTGTTGCATCCCCATGGGTCTGTACAATGATGTTTGGAGAGAATTTGTTGGTTTATGAGCCACACCAATTCCAGGTGGACTCAGAAATCTTGTCGTGATCTCTGATATTTCCTTTATGTATGGTAGGATGATGCGTTTATTGATTTCTGTTGATGACTTTGTAGTTGGTGATACACGGAATAGGCATCTACTGATAAAGTTTCGTGGGTAGCCATTCTTCTTTAGGATAGACATTAGGTAATTTTCTTCGTTTCTCCATGAAGTTGTTGCGCTGCAGTGTGTTCTCGCTCTTTTGAATAGAGTCTGCACACAACTGATTTTGTGTGTTGTTCGGTTGTTGCTACACCGTAGTTGAGGATTTAATCAATGTGTGAAAGCCTGCCTTGCTGTCTTTCTGATCCTCTTTTTGACATCCTCGTCTGTGCCTGTACCGTGGCCTGTAGTTGAAACGATGCTGCCTACGTAGGTGACTCATATAGACAATTATAAATAATATATGAAGAGAAGGTAGAACCGTAATTATTTCATTCCATATTATGTATCCTGAATTTACTCTTGCTTGAATAGTTTCAGGTGTTATTTCGCTGAATGATCTTAATCAACTCCTTTCTGAGTTGTTATATACATTCTATGAACCATTCTATATATTGCATAATCCATGCATTCTTTCCCACCCTTGAGGCTTCATAACTCCATTGTACTTTTCATAGTCGAAGTAAATTTATCCACCTATCCTATTTTTGTTCCACCTTACTCATAAAACTGAAAAAAGCCTCTCTAACTGATTTGCTTATTCACTTTCCAGTATTACATTGATCTTTACTTCATATCATGATGTAATTAGATGATTGTAAAGGGATCACCACCTTCTCCGGTATGAAAACTTGGATATTAACCTGAAAGCTTAATGTCTCACATTCATAGTCTAAGAGGAAACGATCTCCTTAACAACATCGAAATGTTGAGAAATCAATACCCAAAATATTTATTGATTTTATCATTTGTTCTAATATACTACACCGGGATTACACAAGTAAAACTACACCTTATACAATGAATACTACTTATCATCACAATAATCTAAGTAAAGTGTATGTATTATGAGGATGTTAATACCAGATTGGATCTAACATGTTAAGATGTGGGAGAATAAATTGATAACCAGTCAGTTGGTCAGT